GGGACGATGATTTTTCCGAGCGCAAAAAGCGAATCGAAAATGTCGAGCGAAATTTTCGATCGCGCTGAACCTTGTTCCCGGATGAAATCCGATTGAAAAACGGTTTTTCCCGGGATGTCTGACTACCGGCCCGTTTTTCCGTTAGCAGCGAAAATCGCCGATCGCCCGGGCATTATGTACTTACCTCGATTGCTAACGAATCAATTCGCGCCGGATTATTCCTGCGGTGTAAGTAAATATACGGCCGCGCGGATCGCGACCCGTGAAATTAAATTAATTCGTAATGGATAGCGTATCGACGTGAATGATTATTGGCTACCACTGCAAATATTTATCGCCTTCCACTCGCGTCCGCTTGTAATAACCTGCGACTCGAACGACGTAACGGAAATCGCGTGCTTTTTTCTTTCTTTTTTCCTTTCGCGTTCGCCTTCGTCGGGTCATTGAATCCTTTTATTCTTATACTTCGCTCTTCGGCACCGGGGATCGTTCGCGAAACAGTGGAGGATAATATTTTCCTAGCGCTAACGCCATTCTAAAAGCTTTCGCGTGTTCCGCGGGATATTAATCGTGACGCGTCCCGCGCTTTTATCTATTGTTTACAACATTTTAGTGTTCTTCTTCTTCATCGATCATCTGCGCAACACGGATGTTCAACGGGCAAGCCGAATTTCCAGCGGGCGGTTGATGGATTTCCCGTGAAAAACGAACCCTGATGAAATGCCCATAAGGCACCGGGGCGTTTCATGAATTCAACATAGGACCATATGTCGCGGCGTCGCTTATGATACAGAGAATTATCTTGGCAAGAGCTCTACGATCTTCTCACGTGTTCTCTTGTTATTGCGCCGTGACTGCTGTGTTCGCTGAGAAACATTTCGACCGTTTTTAGAGGAGATAAATTCAGTGATGCTGTGACACGTAAAAGCTGCAGTTAACACGACGACCGCTAGGATTTGTTGAAAGATTAATCTACGGAATTTATGTTTTCTACGGTTTTTCGCGGCGGAATGTGCACGTTTGATATATTTCTTAATTTATAGGTTTGATAATAAGGTAACGAGAAGAATCGAGGAAATACTGGGATCTCGATGAATGAAATTCACCTCCTCGCGTGTACTTTAACGATAAATTCCGCCCAAAGCGAAGAGTTCCGAAATAACCCAAAGGCAACAGAGTGTACGTGATAACGTGTTTAATATTCGAGTGTCGCAATAAATATTTTCAGTAGCGTATTTCCCACCGACCCAACCCAATACCACATTGAACCTATTTTCCTTCCTCGCGTCGTGCATCGCAAAGCAGGTTATAAATAATTCTACCCGCCGCGGAAAGAAGAAGACATATACCCGATATACTTTAAAACACGTAGACGGCGAGTGTTACAGAATTACGGCGCACCTAATTATTTGAAACTAGATACTTGCAGCAAGAGGTTTAAGAAACTTTAATGCTGGCATTACCAGGTAATCGAATTCATCGGTTCGCATCCTCTTACGCTAAATTCCGAGGACGTATTTGTAGAAATTCCAGTGAACTATGAACATAATTTCTCTCTACCAGAATTTTCACGGAGGAAACTCGCTTGTCTTAAATCCAACGAAATGCACTGGAGAATGTAGAAATCTGTTCGTAAAATTCTACAAATCAATACCAGTCAACATCTTTCAATGTTAACGATAACGCGACAATTGAAAGATAGAATCAATCGGAAGCGTGGAAGAAAATTGATTTCACGATAGATCAGAGTTCGAGAATTCATCGAACTCGCGTTTCATTGAATCCGGATGGCGTGTCTGTTTATGATTTACTCTATCTACTTGCCGCAGACTCGTGTAATCAATCGACTTCCTTCGAACGCGACTCGTTCGCGAAAGCGAAACCGCGAGTGAACGAAACGTTATTTTATACACTTTTCGCCTGGTTCTCTCGCGTGAATGTGAAATGTAAAGAAGGTGGACGGGAACCGTTGTAACTCCACTCTTTTCCCGGGACAATAAGGGCAAAATGTTGAAAGAAGAACGCGTTAGTTTCGAGTGCGCTCCATGCATTTTTCACGAGTGCAACGGGCCGCGTGCGTTTAACAATTGCATCGTTTTTTTTTCTTTAAATGCAGATGCATATTTTCCATCGCGCACAATGCACGGCACGCTTCAAACGTAACGGAGAAACGTTTCAGCCGGTCCTATAATAAAGACATTTGTACAAAATATCTCGCGAGTTAATCGCCGTTCGACCGTTTCATTTTCCCTTTTTTTCGCACCCCGACCGCTAAACGTCGAGGACATTTACGCCGAGTTGATAAAATATGTACGTTCCCATTGAAAAAAATAATACAATTGTTACATTCATGCGCGCCGTTGCACGCGCGGAAAAAATATACGATGCGGCGCTTTTTAACCCGATAATTTCCCTCGCACGGCCACCGGTAAACGGGATTGACAATGTGACAAATTCATGTACACCGCGGCGATATCAATAATAAACTGCCGCGTGTTTTTACTGGAGAACCGAATAATTCAAGAGGAACGTAATAAATTGATAATTTCCTAAAAACAGAGGAACTTCAGTTTCGTGCTGCACCGTTACGAATTACCAGAGATTCCATCCTCGGACTGCAGGACTTTTTTCATCAGATTCACAGTTACGTGATATTTAAAAGTTTCTCGGGCAGAAGGGATAGCTACGCATATTCGTTGAAAAAGTAATTACATTATATCCAATAGCGGAATGTTCGCGAGCGAGAAATAATATTCCCCCTTCATTCATGTAAATTGATTAATACTCGTGTTTATTAAAACCTTTGTCGAGTCGTTGACTATAATTTAATACCGTAGGGCAAAGGTTTAATGAAAATACCTTTCGGCCGAAGTAAAAAGAACAGTGGTAAACATCCGAAGGCACTAGCCGGAAAAAGTAGGTTACATTTATATGAGAACTGCAAGAAAAGAGAAACACGAAATTGCAGTTTCCCGCTTGACTTAATAACAGTACAAACTATAAAAGTTCCCCTCACGCATTAAGGAACTTATATTCTACCCCCTAACCGCCGACGACCGTCTCTGACGCTCAAAAACCGATGGAAAAGCTGCTTCAAAACGTAGCGACGAACGCCATCGAAAAACTCCGCGCCCCGCCGTTCGCAACATTAAAACAATATTAAAGCGAGATATTAACAAACTCGAAACGAACAAGCGTAAACGGCAAAATAACATTATAACGAGCACGAACGGCGAGACCTCAAAGCGATCGGATAAACGGACCACCCGCGAACGCGCGCGTCGCCCCGAAAAAGGTTGTGCCGCGTTAAAACCGCCATTAAAACGAAAAAACATCATTTGCATTTTAAAACCGGCCGCGTATTAAACGGCGAATCCCGAGCGTTTCGTTCCGCCGCTGACATGCAACCGGAACAAAACAAAGATTTCCGATTCTCCTCCGCTCCCGTGATCCCGTATGTTCGACTTGACCGAAAAAAAAATATACAACGAACCGCGATATCTCTCCGATCCGCAAAATGGCGGGTTAAAAGGCGGAACGACCCCCGTAACGTCGCCACCCCTCGATCGCCCAGAAATTCAATACGAACGGTGACTCCGGGTATACCGGGCGTTCGCATAAAGACCGCCGGTCGAGCGATAAACAATGTCAGCGGGCGGAAACGGGCAGCCGTTCCATCGTTCCTCGGTCGAGGGAATGAAAGAGGAACTCGGTGACGACGGTGCGTCTGGTTGTTGACGGCCGATAACCGTTCCGGCGTTCGCCGCGTTGCGCCGGCCGCAACCCGTTCCTTCGCGGGCTTTTTACCTACCGTACGGTCGCCGAGGTTCCGGACCCGGCAGTTCAGGGTGGCCGTTTTCCCGACGAGCGCGGTGACGTTGCGAGACGCGGCCACCTCGAAGTACGGTCCACGGTCGAGCGGCTCCAGCGCGAGGTTCTCGAACATCCCGTGGTCGGTGGTGCCCCGCGCCAGTCCTTGCACTTCCGCACCGACACGACCGAGCGCGGACGGTCCCGGGGAAGATCAACGGACGACGACGGGAAAGGGAAGAGCATAGAAGAAAGCAATAAGAATAATCCCAGCCGCGGGAGTTGGGAACCGAAACGCGAACCGCCGAGCGAACGAAAGGGACGAAGAGGAATCAAAGAGACGAAACACAACGGCGGAGCCGTGCGTGCCTCGCTCCATTCTTTCCGCCCTTCTCCCTTTCTTCTTTCCCTTTTTTCGTCGGATTTTTCTCCCGCGCGGGCGGCCTCTCTCGTTTCAATCTCCAGATTGCGGGCGCGGATTGTTCTTTGACCCGAGCAGCTATTTCCCGTGGCGGCTCGTCGCGAGCGGGGGCCGCGCGCCGCGTCGTTTACGGGACAGGAAGAGAAATGTTGGCCACGTTGAACCGTTCGTTATCGGAATTTCGTTAACTCCCGGCCGTGTTTACCGGCGGCGCGGGAGAGGGACGGCGGGAACGGGCCGCGCGGAAGAGAGAGACGCGGACTCTGCCGGGGGTGCGCGCACGATGTACGACCGGAACCGGGGCGAGAAATCATTTTAACGTGTCCCGACGCGCCGCGCCGAGGGGTAAAAGCCGCGATATA